TGGAGCTTCTCGCAACGAAAGGCGAGGGAAGGGTTTTGGTTGTTGATGGTGAAGGAAGCTTGAGGCGTGCCGTTACCGGAGGAATGTTGGCGAAGTGTGCCGAAATTATGGGATGGTCTGGGATTGTGATAAATGGGTGCATCAGAGATGTTGATGAGGTAAATGGATGTGAGATTGGTGTGAGAGCTTTGGCAACTTGTCCTGTGAGACCAGTCAAAAGTGATGGTGGCCAAAAGCATGTTCCTATCAACATTGGAGGAGTCTGGATTCATGAAGGAGAATGGTTGTATGCAGATGGTGATGGCATCCTCATCTCCACATCTCAATTGTCTATTTGAATCCCCATAAATGTTTGTTTGCTTCGTATCTTAAATTTTTAAGCCCGGCCATTAAGACTAATCAAGGGGAAATGCACTTCTTTTCTCCCTTCCACGCTCATATTTATTTCTAGATCTAAACACCCCAATAAATAAATAAGGACGTGCAAAATTAGAAAATAAACCTCAAATGCATTTGGATTCGTTGTATTTTATGTATTCTGCTATTTGTGTGGCCTGTCAGTTATTGAAACAGTTACAACATCAATGAGTTTTGTCTTCTTTCGATAAGAAATTTCACCATATGATCGATTGGACATCATCTCTCATCACCGGAAATTATCGAAACAGAGCTCTTGGATCGCTTAGGAGACTGAGGAGAAAGAGGTCCACTGCCTCGTTTATCATGAAAAATGATAAAAAAAATAAAAGGAAAAATTTGAATTCCTACAATTTTTCTATATCATTTAAATAAACATCTGTGTCTTTTTAAAATTTGATTAAAGTGATATGATCAATAGCTACCTCAAGCTAAATTACATGTCATTATTATATTTTTTTTATCCGTCTGATGCACTTTTCCTTATTATTAGTAATTAAACTATATTTTATCTTATTCCAGATATATTTCTTCGATCATAGTTTTTTGTTTGTTATGCAAACATTTAATATTATTTCTTTTTTCAAATGGTTTTTTTTTCTTCAAATATTTGGTGATCAACATAAAAGCTCCGTGTAATTTTTTCAAATTTTTTTTTGCTGTTTTTTTTTAAGTATATTGTTGACGAATTATTATTAGGTATAATACATTACGTATATATTATCTGCGGGTACGTTTGAATTTACAAAAATCATTAATTGGTACGTTTATTTGCAATTTTGATATGTTTGATTTGATACATATTGTTAATATTGGTACATTATTTTTATTTTGGTACGTTTTATTTTGTACATATTGTGTATTGGTACATTTATATTATTCTCAATCTTATTTTTTCTTAACGTACCAAAAGAAAAATTATTAAGGTATGTTTGATTTTGTGGGATTCAAAAATATTTTAAACTATTTTGGAAAGAAAATATCTTAAATCGTAGATAATTATTGCTAAATTGTAGCATTATTGTGAAAATGATTTTTATCACAAATAATCCCTGAAATTGATTCACTCCATCAAGATGTTTCCTGAAATTGAAAATCAATCAATGTAGTCTCTAAAAATAGGTCGCAAATCAATGTGATCCTTCCATTACAATTCCGTCAAAATTTCTGTTATGTGTTGAAATGACACATAACTGGTCCCACAAATCTAATTAAATATTACCATATGAATTAAAATGTTTAAATAATAATTTTTTTTAAAGTTTTATATAATTAAAAATGAAAAAAAGGGAAAGAAAATAAAACAAGAAGATGAACAGTTCATCTTCTTCTTTGCACCCCACCCTGACAAGACCGCCACCGCCGTCCAAAAAGTCGCCCATTTATGTACGTGAAGGCGCTGTCAAGCTTGCTCGGAGGCAATGGAGGCCGCATGTCGTCAACCCATCAACGTCATCAAGACCCGGTTCCAGCTCGACTAGACCAGCACCTACAAGGGAACGTTTCATGTGCGACTGGGTGGGATGGGCTGTCGAGGTTGCTCGGGTGGAAGGGGAAGAAGAAGATGAACAGTTCATCTTCTTCTTATTTTTTTCCTTTCTTTATTTTTTAAGTTTCTAATTATATAAAACTAAAAATTGTTTTTCTTTCTTTAAACATTTTTAATCCAACGAAATGGGGCAAAGGAACAGGAAGTTTTAGAAAGAGCAGGAACAAGACCCACACTCTCTGTGAGCGGTGCGGCCACCGCAGCTTCCAACTCCAGAAAAGCCGCTGCTCTGCCTGCGCCTACCCTGCTGCCCGTCTCAGAACATATAACTGCAGTGAGAAGGCGCTGTGCTGAAAGACTACCGGAACTGGGTGGATTAGGTACATGAGGCCATCTCTAACCGAAGGGTCCAGAGGGCCAGAGGGCCGAAAATAGCCCTAAAACCGTCTCCAACCGAGGGCTAGGCCAGAGAGCTCTGGAATCTGGGAGGGCCCCACGAGATCAGAGAGTAAATAATGGTGTATTCCTGTCGGTTATAACCGACAGGATTGTTTTAAAAAAAAATCAAATGAAACGGCTACTAGCCGTTGCATTTGATTTAATTTTTTTTTTTTTTACATTATTATTATTATTTTTTATTTACAAAATTTTTCATATAACTTCTATTTTTTCCTATAACTTCTATTTCACAAAATTTGGTTTTTTTTAAATTCCATTTTTTTCCTATAACTTCTATTTCACAAAATTTGTTTCATATTTTTTTTAAATTCCATTTTTTTTCTATAACTTCTATTTCACTAAATTTGTTTCATATTTTTTTTTCCTATAACTTCTATTTCACAAAATTTATTTCATATATTTTTTTTAAATTCCATTTTTTTCCTATAACTTCTATTTCACAAAATTTACTTCATATTGTTTTTTAAATTCCATTTTTTTCCTATAACTTCTATTTCACAAAATTTGTTTCATATTTTTTTTAAATTCTATTTTTTTTCCTAGAACTTCCTAAGCCATTATACAACATTAAATTAAATTAAGTAACATGAAACAACATTAAACAATATGAAACAACATTAAATAAAATTAACCAACATAAAAAATTATTACAACATGAAACTTAAAAACAACATTTTAGTTGTAGTTTTTAAATAATAAATTATGTTTGGCCCTATGGCCCTTTGGCCCTCGGTTGGAGACGGTTTTTTGTGATAGGGCTAAAACGAGCCCTCTGGCTCTCGGTTGGAGATGGAGGCAAATATGGCCCTGTACTGTTCATTAAAATATTAATATCTTGGAGAATCTTGGAGGGCCAGAGGGCTAAAACGAGCCCTCTGGCCAGCCCTCGGTTAGAGATGGCCTGAGGAATGTGCCGAGGAGGTTCAAGAGCGGCTTCCTTTAAAATACACAGGCTGCTCCAAGGAGCAAAGGAGCTGCTGCTGCTTCCTTACAAGTTTTCAGAGCCCACTGAACTCAAACATGTTTGGATTTCGTTTCGAATTTTGTTTAGTTGTCTTGATAGTTCTGAATTTCACTTGAATTTTGTTTAGATTGTCTCGATTTGCAGTTGCATTTTGATATGAATGGAAATGACTCTCAATTACAATTACATTTTTCCCTTAAAAATAAAAAATTTAATCCACATAGTAATATTTAATTAAACTTGTGGACCTATTTATGTGCCACGTCAGCAAGTAACAGAAATATTAATGGAATTCTAACGGAATGACCACATTGGTTTGTGACATCCATTTTCAGGGACTATTTGTGATAAAAACCTTGTGAAAATAAATTGAATCTAACCAACTTTTTTTTTTACAATTATCTCTAATGGAAGAGAGTAATAAAAAGGCTAGATAGGAATTTTGTTACAATATAATGTGCATATAACACCAAAATTATGACAAAAAAAAGTTTAACCAAATCACTAAAAGGTATGTATGTTTGATCTAAAAATTTCAAAACTGAGCCGCCTATATCAAAAGATTTCAAAATTAAAAGCCAATTCTGGCCGAGATCTTGTGTGAACGATGAGTATTAGCTGATTCCACGGGTCTGTACAAAGGAGATCCGGAGAGGATCTCATTCTAAGTTGCAGGATCATAGAGGAGCTCGAAGCTGTTAAAGATGTCGACAGTGCGGCCCCTCTGAACCCCGAGAACGCAGCCGAAGACCCACGTGCACGAGGCTGAGAAGGAAGAAGAGGAAACTGTGGCATGTGTCACACGAGACTTGTATTGAACATCCAAACCAAACTATATAAAAATTTGATTATATCTATTAATAGAAACTAACATTCATCAATCACGAAATTAAATAATAATGAAAATCATTAAACATCCATAATGTAAAATTTACACTCAAACTCTGAAATTGGAATCCAAATAATAAAATTCACAGTTATAATATATATAGGTAAAATTCACTTTTTTTTTTTGCTGTAAAACCTCAAAATCAATTCCACTCCAACATTGCTATCATGAGAAGTGAAGAAAAAGTTGGGTTCCCCATAAAATCAATTAGTAATAGTATAGTATCTCAACTTACTTATCATGAGAAGGGAATTGTTGTGATTAGCTCATATTTTGAACTGTCAACAATGAAGTGACCCGTGTGCTGTCGGTGGTGGATGAAGTGTGGCCAAGTGGCAACACTTACAACCAAGCAAAATAAGGAAAAGAAATGAAACATCATTATGATGTTTGTTGGAATAATGAAGTAAAAGTGAACATTGTATGCCACATGAGTGGCTCAGAGAGTAGAAATAAGAGCATCCGGAGGAGAACACAGTGAGGTGAGAGAAATCAAGAGAGCTAGTAGTAGCTGTCAGCTTGGTTTTTTTTACCTTTGTTATATTGGAATTTGTCTGTAACATAAATTATTTGGATCGCAGAAAAAAATTATAAAAGGGGCTCTAAGAAAGTGTGTCGTAATGTATGTCAAAAAAATTGGTTTCCCGATTCTAACCCTAATTTAATTAGAGTGGCTTTTACTTTCGAGTTTTTATTTAGTACATTCTCCTTCACTTCCCTCTCGTCCTCCCACCACTTCCATCAATCTATAGTAGAAAATTATAAATATAACAAAAACAAAATGATTATCAAACGGTTAATATATTACTTTTCAAAAACTACAACCTAAAACGGAACAATAATGGGCATTGACAGTTGGGGAGACTGAAATTTATATTTCATTCCGTATGGTCTAGGTCTCATTAAGATTTCAATTTCTACGCCTCTATGCAGTCAAATGAAACCAGCAGCACCCAAAAAGTTGTCAAAGAAACTTTCAGAAATAAGCAGTCCGTCCACCTCTTCGACTGTGCCTATCATATGCGGCGTTGAACTTGTCGACTAGCTCATTCGTTGTACTGAGAAAAAAAGAAGAAATAAACGATAAGGAAATGAAAATACAAGTGTCATATTCAGCTATGTACTGCTTTGGTATCATTGAAATTTTGATACAATGCCACATTCAACTACTCTACTGTTTTACTGCAACAAAAATATACGCACGCTGCAAAGTACAGAACTACGCAAACTTGGTAATTGCACTAGTATCACACAGAGGTTTGGATTATGATCCTAATTGTGAATGTAATTCGTAAATTCAACTTACGACAACACCCATATTATTAACAACCGTCGGAAACAGATGTTAAGGATGTGGTTGTGTGCTATTGCTTCTCTTCTACCTAGTTTATATAGACAATGGACATATATACCGCGTGGGTCTTCCCCTTCGCTTTCTGTAAAGCAAGATTCTTTCCGTTAATTACCAAAACGAATATGGGAATTGTTGTGATTGGCTCTTATTTTAAGCTGGCAAAAATGAAGTGACCCGTGTATTATCGGTGATGGATGAAGTGTGGCATTTATTTAATTGCTACAGGAAAATGACAGCAGCCATTTATGAGTTTGTGTTTGACTTTCGGATGTGGCATGGAAGTTTTTGTTGAATTAAAGTGGCCGCAACACTTTCGGCCAAGTAAAATAAGGAAAAGAAATGACACATCATTATGATGTTTGTAAAGACATCATGATGTTTGTTGGAATAATGAAGTAAAAGTGGCAACATTTTCGGCTCTTTATTTGTATGCCACTTGAGTGGCTCAGAGAGTAGAAATAAGAGCATCCGGAGGAGAACGCCCATGGGAAAGCATGGGCACAGTTGAGAAAAATAAAGAGAGCTAGAGTGAAAGGTCTCTGGTGAAAGAATTTTTAGGGTAGAGTAAGGCTCTTGAGAAAATTTTAAGAGTGGGTGTACAAAGGATTCGGGATTGGATTATGTCGATTTAACTCATGTGTACTTGTATTGTGCAACGACCTGTCCTCAAAAAATTTGGATTTTATAATTTTAAAATGTGAAATTACAAAAATGTCCTTGGAGGCAAATGCGTTGACTTTATGTGACCATCTTGTCATGTCACGTAAGATTCATTTTATTGGCGTGTCTAGGTAGTACTCGTCGCTACAAACGCGTAGGCGCAAACGGAATGTGATTTGAAGTTATAACGAAGAAGTTATGGGCGAGTAAAATTAGGGACAAAATAGTCATTTAAACATTTTATGGAAGGCTCCAGATTTTTGGAGCAAAATCTGGAAAGCCACGTGTGTGGCCCAAATTAAAGGAAATGAGAGATGGTTGGTGGAGATGTAAAATAACGGAGAGAAAGAAGGGTGAGGGGAAGGCCAATCGGGAGAGGAAAGAAAAGAGAGTGACCAATGGAGAAGAGAAGAAATTAGGGGAAAGGAGAGAGTGGAGGAGCACCGAATCACCCTTGACTCGGTTCCTCCCCGGCGACCCGACTCGATTTCTACCACCCCGATTCCAATTCCAGCATTTTCCCAACGAATTGATCATCGCCACCACCTGCACACGACTCCTCAACCCTTCTTCTTCAAGTTCCACCCAAACCCGATGGTTTTTTATCTTGTTTTTGTGGGGAAGGCGCCGACATCACCGTGGGGGGAGATCGGCGGAAATCCGCCAAGGTAAACCCTTCGACAACTTCCACCATTAGCCTTCCCTTGAGCTCAAGAACAATGCCCAATCATTGGTTGGAGCGTCGGAGTCGATTTGAGGACGAATCAAGAAACACCCTTTATAGGGTTTCCAACGGGTTTTAGTGAAATTGCCGCTTTTCCGGCCAAATTGGCCTTAGTCACAGGTATGAAAGTCGCTCTACTCATCAAGATCTTCATTCCTGTAAAATTTGGGAATTTTTGGAATTTTTCGATTTTCCTGCGAGTCGGGGCGGCTGACCGCCACGCGCGGTGGCGCGTGGAGGAAAAACCCGATGTCCCTCCTTAGGTTTTTCGACATGCTGAATCCGAATCCTCCATCCGTTTTTTCCAAATTATAATGTTTTAGTAGAGTTTTACTAAAAGGTCCCTTATTATGTTTAGGCGCGTTGGCGGGAAGTGATCACATTCTCGATAGTTTGAGCGGCTTCGAGCAATGGAAAACTAGTGAGTGGACCCCTTCATAACTTATATATTTTTATAAAATATTAGCCTATCATGCATTTCATATTTCGTGCATTTAATATGTTTTATATTATGTTTTCCGAATTTCTATAATTATGGTTTATATAGAATTCATAATTTAATTGCTTTTACGGAATATTTATGATTTATCAAATATTACGTTTTTACGAACGATTATGAATTATTGGGATTGCATATATGAAACTCCTTGGATTTACAAATATGTTTTATATACGATTTATGAAATGAGATTTCGAACCCTTGAGTTTTGGTGATTTGGCTTGAGATTTTGAGACATGTTTTTTATACTTACCTAGTGTGTTATCATACAACACATCCGCACACCACGGGTATTATGTCTATGGTCATAGGACACAGATGATGGAGGAGTGAGATATGATATATATTATATACCCCCAGCTTCATCGCCGTAAGTAGTGTCGGACAGCTTCACTAGCCACGGCTAGTGTCAGTGTGGATGTTATGCTATTTGATACAGCTTCACCTTCGTGTGATAGACATGTTATTCAGCTTCACCTTCGGGTGATGGACAGGTTATTCAGCTTCACCTTCGGGTGATGGACATGTACTGCCTTCGGGCGATTATGATACCTCTAGTTGAGTACATCACGGATACGATTTACGGATGTTTTCATGACATGCTAGGGTTTTTCATAAAACCTATATGTAATATTATATATCTGTGAAATCCGATTGCAACTTAAGCTTTCATCTCCTCAAAACTACAAAAATGCAATCAAAAAGTAACTTTTTCTCTGTAAAATCTGATTGGGTTAAATATACAGCTTGAAAGAGTGTTTGCCGCCCACAAATGCCACGTGTATAGTACTTTTAAATCTTCGGCCTCGATTACTGTTCACTTCTGTTGAAATTAAGGTACTTGAGTGAAATAAAATCATTTGGGCCTTGTACAAAGCCCAAACTTATTTTTGTTCCAAACATCTTGTTGCTGGATATCTCGTTCGTACACACATCTTCTCTTTGTTTCTCGAGCCTATAGTGAGTCACAGACAGAGTTCGAAAGGGTCAAATCTTTGATGATTCCATCATACATGATTGAGTTGCGAAAACTTCTGGATAGGTATCCTACATCTGAACTGAATTCTTTGTGGTTAAAGAATCTCTTTCTAGTTGCTCGGGAACAATTAGGAGATTCTCTAGAAGAAATACGGGCTTCTGGCGGCAACATGCTATGGGGTGGTGGTCCCGCTTATGGGGTCAAATCAATACGTTCTAAGAAGAAATATTTGAATATCAATCTCATCGATATCATCGATTTCATAAGTATCATACCAAATCCCATCAATCGAATCGCTTTTTCGAGAAATACGAGACATCTAAGTCATACAAGTAAAGAGATCCATTCATTGATAAGAAAAAGAAAAAACGTGAACGGTGATTGGATTGATGATAAAATAGAATCCTGGGTCTCGAACAGTGATTCGATTGATGATAAAGAAAGAGAATTCTTGGTTCAGTTCTCCACCTTAACGACAGAAAAAAAGATTAAAAGAGATGAATGATGAAAAAAGTAATTTATTTTATTTTCATATCATTTACGTATCATGTTAATGGGTCGTGTAATAAATTGTCAGGTCTACCCTTGATTAGTGAGAAAATTCTCTTGATAGATTTGCCACCAACGCACAATCAAAGGCAAGAGATGTTGAGTCGTAGAAGCAAATAGCAACGAAAAAGAAGCAAGCATTGCGCAGAATAGTTCAGAAATTGAGAGTTCCTAATCGGTTAAAGATGAGGAATTTATTATATGGAATCATTTTTATTATCAGTTACCTGATTTTAAAGATATATTTATATTTATTAATATATTTTTGCTTTCTGGCAATTCGATTTGCGATATGGAAATGGATTAATGTTTGATTTGGGTTTAAATGTGAACATTTTTTTTTTGTGGGGTGGGGGAAGGGGTGGAATTTTAAAGTGGACTAATCGTTTTAGGGGAAATTTTAAAACCAATAAAGTGTGGGCATTCGTATCGTGTTTTATGTGTTCGTGTCTTTTTCGTAACATCCTTGATATCTAACGGGTTGTGAGTTAAAATAAAACGGGTAATATGATCCGACTCGTTAATATTAGCTGATAATATGACTTGATCCGGTACCCGTTAAAGAAAATATATTTTAAACCAATAAATAACAAAATGAAAATGTAATACTAAATACGTAAGTGAGATCAAAGAATCTAACGGTAAGAATTTAATCTCACTTATTAGGCTATTGTTGTAAGAAAGTTTTTTTAATAGTTTTTTAATTAATATAGAAGTGTGAAAAATATAAATAAATAAAAAAATTTACAAACACTAGTAATGAAAGCTCTACAAAAATATATATACAAATGCTTGTAATGAAAGCTCTACAAAAAAAAGTTATACAAACGCTCATAATGAAAGCTCTACTACTTTTGTGAATATGTCAACTTTGAAATTAGCCACCATAATCCCATAAACTATAGATTTAAATTTAAGCGTTAATTGTCGTTTACGTTTACGCTCCATTCTTCTCACCGTATTTTGTATTTTTTTTTAAAATTTTCTTTTTGAAATCGCTATTCATTGGTAAATCTACTTTGATTGTCTATCAACCAATAATGTAAACCATTAACACGATTAAAACAAAAACATTTTTTTTCAAAGCACAACAATCCCAAACTACTCCTACGTGTGTCGTGACTTTTCTTTGGGGATGAAGTTGAACCATCAATGCCTGGAATTAGTTCTGGGGATGGACCATCATTTTGTACTTATTTCTCTTGACTGACTTGTAAAGTTTTCCACAACGACTTTGTCTACCGTCTTTGCTGGGCTGGGCTGGAAGTAGAAGAATGAAGCTCTTTTCATAAATTTTGAAGATTGAGCAAAATCTCCTCCAATTATATTTTTCACTGGAAAAAAAAAACCATCAAAGACAAAAAAAGAAATAAGACCTATAGAATATTATTCCTCATCAGATATATAATTATATATGCAAGTGGTGGATTGTCTTGATGAATAAAGTCTTTTTCTTTGACCTCTGTTTACTCTGATACATTTTTATCTTCTAAATGACTTGTACTCATTCTTCGCATAACGTGTATTTTAAAAAACCTTATAGAAGTTGTATTTCTCAGGTTACTAAGCGTCTCTCGCATTACCATCTGCTATGTAAAGGA